GGCCGAACTTTTAATACCCTCCACCTTTGGGTAAAGAACATATTTTGTATATAAAAGTATTGGAATTCAAACGTGTTTCACTTTAAACTACAAATAACAGTAAGGCCGTTTGGATAATGTTGTTAAACTTTACAAAATACCATAAAGTGGGTGAGGCCGATATATGCGAGCCATACCAAAGCGGCAACCAAAGATTTCGTGGGTAAATGTGACTAGGATTATCAAAATACCAAATATTGGTTGGTATCGAAAAATGTGGCGAAAATCATCAAAACACCAAATATCGGGGTTACCTTTATATGGGGACTATACCAAAGCGTGGACCTATATATACTAAGTTTTGCCACCGGGGAAACGTGGATCTATACATACAATGGTTTGCCACCGAAACAAGAACCTGTTATGACCTACAAATACGGCCTAAATTGGAGATAGTTTTTCCAGTTTTATACATGCATTATAACAGAATTTTTTTGTTATAAAAAATATAAAACTTAGACCCTTCCTGTATTGAAATCCCAAGATCTTACCCAATTTTAATCAAAATCGTCAGACTTGATTTAAATCGGAATGTTGTATCTCGTGGCAAACGCTATTTTTCGGTGATGTTTAATATATATCCGCTTCGATTTTCACCGAGATTGGCCAAATTAATCATCGTGTATTAAAATCTATCGACTTTGGCTGATACTACGCATTTTAAAATTGCTTATTTTTAACATGGAACCATGGTAGAAGAATATAAGTAGACGCGTCGACACAGCTGCTGGTACAATGAACTGTCAAACAAATTTTAAAATTGAAAATGTTGAATGAAAAATTATTTAAATTTGTTAAAATTGTTGAAAAATGCGAATTATAATAGCCTCCGAATGACGTAGTATAAGAAAACATATAATGTGGCGTTTCCACTGCACTTGATTCGCTCTCTATTCGTTGTTTGGCCCTTAACTATGAAAAAACTACCTAATTCTTCACACAAAATTTCCTGAGCGAACACTCATATTTGTACGTTGTTCAAATCAAATCACTCTCAGAACAACGAAAAAATATGTCCCATCCCTAACAAATGAGAGCATTTATCGAAAAAATAAATTATGACATTTAAAAATTAATAATAGAAAAATTTAATGAAATTTTAAAAATTTTCGGGAAGACTGAAAATTATGAATGAAAACTACAATGTTGAATGGCGTATGTACATTCAAACGAAAGTAAATAGACGAATTCCCCAGAAGAAGTCGCCAAAACAGCGACGAAACGTCGGGAATAAAATACAAAATAAAATAATTTTGTTTTAATTTGTATATAAAACCTAAGGTCAAGAAGCTAAAACACACAAACCATAGAAATAATCATTGGCCAAAAAATAACAACAAGAAAGTAAATTTTGTTTTCTCTCTCATTCGAGGTACGCATTTTGTCCACGAGTTAAAATTTCCACAGAAAACGCAAACAAAAGAGGCAACATTTTCAAAATGTTTCTATCGGCAGAAAAAATGTTTGACAAGTGTCTCTCCAGCAGAATTTAAAAATGGAAAAACACAAAAATGTGTTCAAAATGTCAACATTTACACAAAAAGTTGAAATCGTGAATGAAAATGGTAAAATTAATGATATAATAAATTTTTGGGAGGAAAACAATAATTTCTTCTATTCATATTAGTGAGAATTTCATGTATTTTCGTATAAATTCCCATTAAAATCAACAAACAAAATTTTTGAAAAAAGGAATTATTTTACTATGAATTACGAATCGTGCCGTATGAACGGGTTAATTCGTGTACCTAATTCTGAGAGCGAACATCGTTGTTCGGTTTCCAATGGAAACATGCTATAAAAATCTACTTATATTTGAAAAAACATTTAAATTTTTTTGACATATCAATGCTCCCAAGCGTTGATGCATCTACCTACCATCTACCATATCGATATTTTTCGATAGTTTATGAATTTGAATTTCAATGTGGTTAGTTATCCGTATCCCAATGTTACAAACATAATGTAGGTAACAGTGGTAAGTATTCGTATACGCCCCAGCGACGTTAAGGAGTTGTAACGTAAATTTTCAGGAACATGTCAAATAGCTTAGCTCATGGTGCAATAAAATCAAGTTAGGGCTATGATACCATATGATTTTAATTTTTTTAGAACATAATTTTGTAAAGAAATTTTGACTTGATGACTTTACCTTCTTAATTTGACCATGGAATAAACAAACAAGTTGCAAAAAGATATATAAGGTGATTTCATGATGCGCCCCAGGGTCTCAAGCAATTTAGGTATCTTGAAAACGAATTGGTCACCTCCAGAACTGATTTCATTTAACCTCAATTACGTATGGGAACGTTTTCACATTTAGCCATATAAAGAGTATTTAAATGTTGCGTCTCCAAGTTTTGACTGAACAAACCTCCACCAAAAACTTTACCACAAAACTCTGATAATTTTGTTTTAACTGGACCTTTGACCGGAAACCAGCGCGAAATATAGAATCCCCCTAATATATTTTTAAGAGGGGCTGGTCTTACTTTCTTTACAACAATAAGTACCTATATTTTCATTTGTGCTCATATCTTGTGTAATTAGTTTAACAATGATAAGATGTTAACATAATTTTTCGCTGTATCGATCAAAATGATAAGAAGTATGTCAGATGGCATTCCGACATAAGTTAAATACCAATAATACACTTAACCGAATTATACACTGACGTTGAATTGTTTCTTTTGGTCATTTTCAAATCGATTAAAATGTTCAATAAACATGATAAGATATACAGTTGAGGGCATTATTTTTAAAGTTCTAAGTTCTAAGAAATGGTCAAGTTTGAAACTGGCAAAGTAGACGCACCAAACAGTGATAAATACTGATGTAGACGCTTTTATCTGTGAAGTGCACTCTTCTAAAGCATTTGATTTCTTTTTAATATGTTGATTTTTGGAATTTATATTATTAAATTTAAAATGCAGAAGAATAGTACTTAAAATATTAAATGTTAATACTTTAATCATGGTAGAACTAAGAAGGTAAAGTCATGTGACCATATGTTTACAATTTTTTTTTCAAATTTTTAAATCCACTGTATATACAAAAAATCAGAGATGGGAACTGTTTTTTATGCATTGAAATTTGACATTTACAGAAAATGCAAAGCTTGGAATGCTAATTTGAAATGAGATTACCTTTATTTAATAGTACCATGGCTTTCATATCATTCCACTGAATGTTAGCTGTAGGTCCAAATCTCTCAGCACTTCAAGCAATCGCTAGAAAATTGCAAAAACCAACATATATATTAAAACCAAATCTTATACATACAAAAAGTATTCTACATTTCGCAATTTTAGGAAACATGAAATATACGACTATATTACCTAATGCATTGTCGCTGTTCCTTAACGAAGTATAACTGCGAATTTTTACATTATTAGGCAAAAAATAAGATCACATTGTCCTGCAGTGAAATTTTATATCAAACAAGTTAGAAAGCCGAACTTTGAATAGCCCCATATGGAACGAATTTGGAAATTCTCAAAAACAATAAAATCCGTTAAAAATTCTGTTAAAATCTTAAAATTACCGAATGTAGCTGTTATTTTAGGGTCTATACGACGACGTGGACCTGCATAGGTAACATTGGTAATAAGCCATCACAATATTCAAATGCGAAACTTAAAAAAATCGATGAATAATGTAGCTAAAATCATCAAAATACCGAATTTCGGGAGGTACCGTTATATGGGGGCTATACGAAGACGTAGATCTGCAGAGACAATTTCCTGTCTTAGGCTGTAGTATCCATTACGAACTTCAAATACCAAATTTGAAACAAGTCCGGTGAATAATGTCGCTAAAATCATCAAAATTCTGGATATCGGGAGGTACCGTTATATGGGGTCTATACGAAGACGTAGACCTACATGTCCCATTTTCAATACCAACAGTCCTGCAGACATAATATACATTAAAGTCTAATTTTATTAATCTACTTCATTTCGTTCGGAAGCTAGAGTGATTTCCACAGACGGATAGATGGACATTCGGACGGACATCTCTAACTCGACAGAATTTTATGCTGATCAAGAATATATATATTTTGTGGGGTCTAAAATGTATATTTCGAGGTGTTACAAACGGAATGACAAAGATAATATACCCTCCATACAATGGTGGAGGGCATAAAAAGTGTATAGAAATGGAATTAAATCACAAAATGTCATATCGAACTTGACACTTGTATCACTACAGAGTCAAATCAGCTGGGATTTGCTGCTACCTGTTATAATTAAACCATGCCTAAACCGGTTGAAATTAATTTCTATGTGCGTATTTTATGTTGATTATAGTGAAGATTTTTATTGAAATATCTGGGATCTATTTCTAACATTTTCTTTTTTTATCATCTCTACTTTTCGATCGAAATTTTTCGATATCGAATTTGACATATAGTCTCAGAAATGTACTTTAGCGTCGAGGGAAATGAAAAAATGCAACTCTGTAATGGTATATAGACTTTTAAAGTATACAACAATTGGTTTTTATAAATACATTATTTGTATTCTCCTACAATTCAAACAATCAACACTTTTGCCCCTCACTGTTAAATATTTCTGTTATTGCACTACATTTGTTGTTTTATTAGTTTATTGCAATATTGAAAATACACACGCAACGAATGAGGGATCACTGATCCACACACAGAACTTGATTATTGAATTTAAATTGTATATTAAACAAAAAACACTTATTCAATGGGGGGTAGGGGGGGCTTACATTCTAAAGAGGGAGTAAATAAGGTTTCGTTTATTCCAGTGCAATATATATCTTCATTGCCATTTTGTGGTCTTAAGGGTCAGTCATAATAAGAACGCAAACCTGTTAAAGCAAATAAATAAAATAGCCATTGATTTGTGATAACTCAAAATAAAAATTCTCACACAAAAAACCATATAGATCTTGTGCTTCAAGATAAGAATAAGAAAAAAACTGCTTTGAAATTTTCGATTTTAGTTTGTTGGTTTTTTTTTATTAAATCATTTCTCAAAGAAGTCAATATAATATTATTCGTATACTTAAACAGTTTGTTGGTAGCGGACGAAAAGCAAGTGTATGTTATACTTAATGGAGAAATAGTAAGGAAGAAAAAAACATATATCTATTAAAAAAAACGAAATAAATTACTAATTGTTTCAAGTGGATAATCTCGTTGGTTTTGTGACCATAATATGACTGTTATTTCTGCTGAAGATAAGGTGAGTAGTGAATTGAATATGTTTGATTTTTTCAGCAATAAATATATTATACAAAGAGAAGTCCATTCAGGGGCAGCGTTTTTTTAAAAATAGTTTAATTTGGCCTGTTTTTTCTTTTCAATTGTACAATAGCGTTATGATTTTAATTAGCAAACATACACAAGTATTAACATTTAAAACGGTTTTTTACTCGCATATTTTTTTTTTAAATATTTATATAAATACATATGTATATATTAAAGCATTAAGTCTTGAATTTCTGGTTGATTTTTTTTCTTCAGCTAGTCTCTATTACTGACCAAAATTCATTAGTTAGTTGTTTTCTTTAAAATACCACAGATTGATCCACCAATTTATAGCCTTGTCCAGCAAAACTTTTGGGAGGATAACACACAAATAGGCCCAATTGCATTAGGGACAGAATGCAGCCCAAGAAATTGGGTAACTAGGGAAGAAATGTATTATAAAATTTAGAAATTTGAAAAAATATTATCACAACTCACCTGAATAAAAGTATCGGAAATGATGACACCATAGATTAGCCACTGCACCGATACTAAAAATGACATAATTATCAAGGGGAAAGGCATACTTTCCGAGTTTTTAACTCGTATCACATGTAGCAGATTTGTTAAGGGGGCAGCAAAGAAGGTTACCGTAATAATACAACAAACAATGCCTGTTTTAATGAGAAAAATAAATCAAATCAATATTTTTGAAATATGAAATAGGTCTGTTTTACTTACCCATAAAATTTTGAGCCTGCTCCGTCTCTGGTATCGTATTTATGTAAAAGGCAATGCCACACAATGCGGTCAGCACAAAGAGGAACATTTTGACATAGGCATTTTTATTTACAGTGAAAACATAATAGATTAAGGTATAGATCAAAAACAGTGTCACACCAATACAATTGACCAATACCACACTGTGTTCATTGCTTAGCATGCCATAGAGGACCCAATAGCTACATCTGCAACATTACATATTTAAAAGAATATTAGATCTTTGATGTATTTTAAATTCGAAATAGGATAATCGATGATGTTACAACTCGATATCAAACCCATGTCGTGGTAAAACCTACGCAAAGTGTGTAAAACATAAATAAAAACAAGCTAAAGAGTATCAGTTGGTTTTGCCGACAGATTTATATAAAAGGTGATGTCTTTACCCGTTTATTCAAATATATTTTGTCAAATTTTTGATTATTACCGATGGAGTAGAACAATATTGTCCATTTCGCTTATGACCTTAGTCTGATATAATCATTGTAGGTGGCAGCTTTGGATAATGTGCATATACTTTTTGAAAATGCTTAACTTTCTTTGGAATTCACCAGAAAGTGTGGGTCAACACACCCCAAGTACACGATTTTTGAAGAAAATCACTGATTTATTACGCATGTATTAGCGTTATAATTATTCATAATGCTAAAAACTGGGGAAGGTACCAGCGGGAGTGGGCCATAAATTTTATATTCAAATAAGATCTCCTCTTGGTAAAGATATTGTAATATACAAGATTTGAAGAAAATCGTTTAAATATTCCCCATGTATTGAGAGCTATAACTATTCAAAAATTTGACTATTTGTGGGGAAGGTGCCAAAAAGAGAGGACCGCTTTATCCCATTTTCACACTCTATCTTATAATGGTTAATATATCGGGATGTGCGAAACTTATAGAGCATCTGATGCATTTTTCGCATTTTTGGGGGCGTTTTAGATATTCCATACCCTTTGTGGGGAAGGTATTCAAAGGAGAGGTCCGATATATCCCATCTTCACATCAGATTTAGTGTTAGTAGAAGTAAAAGGATGTGTAAAGTATGAAGAGAATGGCATGTTTATTTCGGATTTTATGATCGTTTTGGTTATCCTAAACCTTGACCCTTTGTGGGGAAGGTACCAGAAGGAGTGGATTGATATGTTTCCTCTTCACATCAGACATTGGGTTATTAAAAATATTGTGATGTGCGTAATTTAAAGACAATCGGACTCTTACATCACATTTTATAAGAGTTATAATTATTCAAAGTTTTGACCCTTTGTGGGGGAGGTGCTTGATGGAGTGGACCGATATTGTCCATTTTCGCACCTGACCTAGCACTGATGCAAATATAAGGATTTGCAAAGTTGGAGTCAAATTGGATTATCCATTCTCTTTCTGTGCAAGAATTTTTTGAAAATTTCGACCTTTTCCGAATTCGATCTAATATTACGATGTACCATGTTTGGAGCAAATCGGATACTACCATCGAGAGTTATCGTACGCACCAGCCAGGCAGACGGATGGGCGAACGGACGGACATCGCTAAATCGACTCCAAATGTCGTGAAATGGATTTGGTCTTAAGAGACCTAGAGTCTAAAGCCTTTATTTCGATGAGACACGTTTTGGCCGTATCAAATGATATATATCCTCTGTGGCCATATGGTTGAGGGTATAAATAACCATTTTGAAGGCGGAAATGGAAGCATAAAAATTTGAATTGGCTAGAGGGACATCGCTTTTAGGCTATGAGTACTATTTCCACCATTCTCAAAAGGATCATTGATTCCTCTGTTTGGTAGTTTGAGCAGAGACGCGGTGGATGGTGATATCGAAAGGTTTAGTAGGGGATGTGGGGTGGGCTTCGAGGACGGCATTCCTACTGTAGTTGTTGATGGCATGTGTGACTGATTCAGTATGAATGGTAATACGACCAGCCTCATGAGGTTCTTGATCTAGAGGTCGTTTCTTATAGCGTTGGACCCCCTCTCTATACCGTATATGGCTATACTATGGCGTACGGGAAGTACTTCGTCTCATCGAGTTGATGGTTATTTGTTAAATTATAATGCATTGGTATTATGAAATAATTTAAAATCTGTATCGAAGACTTCAAATATCATAGTTTTTCATTCAGATTTTAATAATACTGATTCCTATATCACCAACTCACTATCCCCTATTAGTGCCAACAGTTCCGACCCCATTTCTCAAAACCTTTGAACTACGCTTAAGTCAATATAAATACTATTTGCACTATTCGCCTACAAAGTGATGGCAATAGTTAGTTGTTATTGATTGAACGTTTGCTTACGTTGGCACACACATGCATGGGCCATGTCATACGATAATTGGGTAGGAAGTTCATTGATAAACACAACATCATAACATAATCCACTTACGACAAAAAACCGCATATAAATGGAAATCCTGACGAATCTCCAGTACTTTTCTTGCTAATATATTTACGGCAGATGACCCTAACGGAAAAAAACATAAAAATCATTAATAATTTCATTGATTAACAATTTAATTTATTCAAATCACTTACGCTCCGGACAAATACTGCAGAACCGTGGTCACAACAGCTGTAGTCTCCAAGAGTGCAATGAAATTTTCCACACTCTTCATGTTCTCGTCCTCTTATTAGGTGGCGCCAAATTTTCCAATATATTTTTACACTTTCCTTACAGCTTGATTCCACTATTTTCGATTTGGCGTTTGAGATCTTTCAAATATCATATTTTGTTGAAGTGTTTTCTTTTTGGTTTTTTATTATCAATTTAAATCTCTTTATAGTTTTATTGCTGCCTCTTTCCCTGAAACGACGTTTGTTTCTTTTATCAGAAATTGATTTCAGATATAGTTGTTTAAAAAGAAAAAAAACATTTTATCTTGGCACTCACCAATCAAAACACACAAACTACAAATTGTTTTCTGTTGATTTGTCAAATTGGATGTTGTTTTTGCTGGTTTCTCTTTTGTTTATTGACGTAGCGCAAAATGTCGATTTTCCATTGGTAATCGATAAAGTCATCTTTTACTCGTAGAGTTGCCGTAGTGTGGGTTTTTATACTCAATACGCCATAGCAAAATTAACAAAGGAGACAAATCGGCAATTGTAACCCTTTGAACTCAACTATCACAGCGTTACCCATAATTCGACGTACTCAGTCGACATATTTCACCACACAAGTTAAATACATGTATTTATATAAATGTACCTAAATACCTCGGGAATTTGAAAATTTTGAATTTGCAAAAAAAATGATATAAAAAAGTTTAATTTTTGTAATTAAAATTATTCAATTTATTGAATTAAAAAAAATCAATTTTTACAACGGCTTTATTTGGTAAATTCTAAAATATGGACCTGGCGTATTTGGATGATACGGACGTACAAAACATTTTACCATAGTGGGAAAGTTGAATATTTGGCATATTTTGTAAAGAAAAGAAAATTGCAAAACTTGTAGATTCTTGCAGGTACTGGAACAAAGCATAAATTTTATGTATGTTAGGTTAGGTTAAAGGACGCGCGATTGCCGCCACTCGGAGACCTACTAGTCTATTGTGTTCACCCTAGAAAGAATAATAAAAGAAAGGAAAGGGTGATGGAAGAGAGTGAAGATAGAATTATAGAGTGTGATCTACGGCTAAAAAAGTTGCCGTGTCATCTTTAGCCACTTGAGTCTTCTGGCCAATTGAAGAATTACTGTAGGGTCAGTGTTAGAAAAAGAAGACAGATCATGTGACAATAGCTCCCCCACCAACCTGTGTCTCACGTTAATGAGTGCTGGACAGTGGCAGAGCAAGTGTTCGACTGTCTCAATTTTTTTATCCTGGCAGATCCTACACTAGTCAATGTCATCGCTATCCCATTTCGAGGTCATTGCCCTGACCTGTGATGATACCTACCACAATTTTTAAATCAAGTTTCGACAATGACAGTAGCGATTTTATTCTCTTCTCCGAGAGTATGGGCCAGATTCTTTTGGGCTGGTACAACCCCTTTCGTGCAGCCATTTTTGTTGGATTCTCTCAGAATTGTGTCTATAAATAACCGGTAGGAAATGGCACAATGGTGATTTAACCGAGTTGTTTACTTCAATGGTAGTTAATTCGGATCCTAGCCTGGCCAATTCGTCTATAATCTCATTGCCTGGAATATTATAATGACCAGGAACCCAACAGAGCTTGATGGACAACCCAGTGTTTTCCCAAGGCTTTTCTGCAGGTCAAAACAACCCTAGACTTAATGGTGTACGAATTTAAGGCCTTCAGTGCCGCCTGACTATCGACGTATATAGTCACCGGACCGCTAACCTCACTATTCCTCGTGACCAGCAGGTCTGTGGCTTTTTTGACCGCAAAGATTTCCGCCTGGAATACGCTACAGTCGTTTCTAAGCTTGTAGGATTCACGAACATTAAGGGTATCACAGAAGTCACCAGCTCCCGTTCCACATTCCATCTTTGAACAATCGGTACAAACTGCTATGCCGCGGAAAGGTGGGTTGTTACGAGCCCAGGCGTCCCTGTTAGGTATGTGTATGTCAGGTGGGTCAAAGCTCAACCGTGGTGAAATATAGTCACTTGCGTTGGCTTCCACTCCCAAATTCCTTATACGACTTAAAATCGCAGAATGTCCAAATTGGTTCGTTTAGTTCTCTGAGTCGAAGAGCACACCTGATTGCCTGTTCCTCTACGTGTCTGCTTAGTAGACTTAAGCACTGTAAGGTGTCCAGTGCTTCTTGAGGTGTGCTCCTGAAGGCACCCGTTATTAGTAAGAATGCGGTCGTAAGTAAATAGACTTCTTCAGGGAATGCCACCAGACTAGAGCTCCATGGGATAGTATGGGGCGAACAATTGACTCATACACCCATTTGATGATGTGTGGTTTGAGGCTCCAGCTTTTACCTATGGAGTTCTTACAAGAATAGAGTGCGATCAACTTAGCTGGCGGTCGAGGATAGTGCCAAGGTATTTGGACTTTGATGAAAGATTTAACGTAACTCCATCTAGCATCAGTGGTATAAATTAAGGACATTTTCTTATCTTCGTGAAGAGGGCGAGCTCTGTCTTTGATGGGTTCACGCCTAGTCCATAAGATCTTCCAATCAGAAATTTGAAACAATTTCGGTCTATAATGTCGCTTAAATCATCAAAATACCGAATATTGATATTACCCTATTAAGTTCATAACCTCCCTACTGGCAAAACACACATGTTAGCCTTCTATCTCAATTCGTTCGAAAGATAGTGTGATTACAACAGACAGATCGACGGGCATCGCTAAATCGACTCAGAATTTTATGCTGATCAAGAATAAATATACTTTGTTGGGTCTGACATGATTATTTCGAGGAGTTACAAACGGAATGACAAAATGCATTTTTCATTTAATTTCAACGTGCTCTACATAGTCGAATGCCTTAAAGTATGCTGCACTTAAAAGGAAGTTGTCACTCATATTGGTTAAATGTTTTGCTGCTAATTTTTTTGAAACAAAAAACCAACATTCAGTATATTTTATATGTTAGCAATTATTTATTTATATAAAAATAAATACAATTTTTTCTTGTAATTCATAAAAAACCTTATATTAAAAAATTAAATTACTAAACCACTGTACTTGCAAGCTCTAAGAAAGTTTTTATCGCTGCCGAACAGAAGCAGCAGCAGCGCAGAACAGCTGTTCAACGGCGTTGGCAGCACAAAAATACAAATGAACGTCAAAGAAAGTCTAAATATGTAATTGCTTTGCTTGCAATCCATTTTCGTACTGTCTGTTCGCGAGTTCAGTGTGCGTTCTCGGTTTTCCTCTCAAATCTATAAAAAGAATCATAAATATGATAAATATATAAAGAAATACAAATTTTGCATAAACTATGTACATAATTATGACAAAGTGTAAAACAAAATATTTTATTAAGTGAAAAAACACCTTTACTCAGTGAAGAGAAAAACGGCCGAGGGCAGAAAACAGCTGTTCGTTGGTCCGTGTGTCTCGTTTTGTCTTCCAGAAAAAAAAAAAATAAATACACGTGAAATATTTTCTCCTTGTGTTTTTGCGTTCCTTCGTTTGGTACATACATACATATACTTGCTTGCCTTACAACACAACAAAGTAAAAACGCCGAAAAGCACACATACATCCACGCAACAGATTTCTATATTCTGTTTATAAAACACAAGAAAAAGAATATAAAAACAAAAACCCCAACAACTATGGATCACAATAGCCACCACAACGAAGAGTCTCATCAATTGTATCCGAAAGGAGAAAAAATTGAAATAACTGTCCGAAATGACCATCGAAGCAACCGGGACATTCCTTCGACGAGTAAAGTTACAAATTTGGAGGTAGGTTTGCATTCCCACCATCGGCGAGTTCGTTGTGTGTAAAAAAATGTAGTGAAAACCTGTTTCTTTTTTTCCTGTCATGAACTTGCAATGAATGTTGGTGGCTGGCTTACATGTGTACTAACATGGCATGTTTGTAGTTCCCGCCTACCTACCCTAGCCACTAGACAAGTTAAAAGTCCACATATATTTGCAAAAAAAGCGCGAACAGTTAATTGTTTACCTTTCACAGTGAGTATTAGGGTGGTACTCATTCCGGTTTAAATCTACTATAGTAAAGACTTTTTTAAGATTTTGTCCAGAGGTAGGCATTTGTACTCGAAAGGTAGGTCTAAGACCAGGGTTAGAGCCAGATCTATTAAACTGATATTGATATTGGTATCATTAGAAAGCTAATGGAAATATGGAAATACAAGTGGTCACATAATTATAATATAATATAGCTTACTCTCAAAAGGTGTGGGTACATAAGCAGCTCAAAGTCTTCGTATGATATATTTTGTGACATATCATAAAGGGATGCCAGAGCCCCACTCGAATCCTGTCGTCGTTTCCTCTTATATTTTAAAATTAATACGCCTAGCCATGATGTCAAGCTGGTTGTGTACCATCACCTCAACCTTTCCAAATATGTTTGCGCTTGTGTGTTTTTTTTTTGTTTTGTATTAGCGTAGCCCGTATTAGACATACCTAGAGGAGAAAATCCCTAGTCCGACTAAAGGCCGGCTACACTTTCCTAGAATCTTGGTACAAATACCTTGAAACCTACTGTATGAGGAACTGAATATGCAGCCGAGGGATAAATTATTCAAAATTGTAGGAACCATACTCTAAAGCATGTATAAATAATCTGAAAAAGTCAATGTTATCTTCAATAAATTAAGTATTAGGAGAAGGGGCATCAGGACATCACTAGCCGCAGTACTTGGGCTTGCAGACAAATAAATTGTTGACATTCCACGAAGCAGGATTTTAGCCAATATTGGTACTTTCAGAGCAAGCCTTTCTATAAAAGTATCTTCCATAACTGACAATTTTCATGCGACAGTATCAGCGAAAATGCGAATATTTCAAATTGTCCTGGACTTCAAGCCATATTAACTATATTTATATTCGAAATAATAAGGTTTTTATTTTATTAACGCTTATCCATTGGTGTAGATTATATTGGTAATGCGCATTATTGCTGATAAACTTTCGGTAAAGATCAGTGTTTTCTTTAGGGGCTTTATAGTTATATTTATGGTTTATAATAGTCCCCCTAACTTTGCCAGGGAAACTTGAGAAATTGTTTTAGTTTTTAATATGTTGTGGCGAAATTATTTTTGGACGCATCCCTTAAAATTGAATTTCAATTAATATGGTGCTCTGAGTTTGTCTCGCATGCTTCAATGGAGGCGAAACAGTACAGTGAGAAACGCACTGAAGTGTAGGTGAAACTACACATCGTGATTCGCATTATGATGGAAATTGAGTAGGAAACTTAAAACCGGCTGCAGAACCTTCTTTATCAGCTAGTTTGTAAACGCACATATCTTAATGAAAAAGATCCCAAGATCCAAAAGATCTATAAGCCAAGAAGCCTTCTATGGAAAATGTAGAGAACAAAGCAACCCAGTGGGGCATAAAATGGATGATGAATTAGCTCGAGGTGGTTCCCAGTCCATTGATCTACCGATTGGTGAGACTATCAAACCACACCAACAAAAGGATTCCTTGATAAACATAAGGAATTAAAGATCTCTGAATGAAGCAGCTGCTAATTCCCGTGAAACTGTACTGGAGGCGAAGCGGGACAGTGAGAAACGCACTGAAGGGTAGGTGAAACTATCCGCATTATGATGGAAATTGAGTAGGAAGTTTAAAACCGGCTGCAGAACCTTCTTCATCAGCTAGTTTGTAAAACAATAAAACGCACATATCTTAATAAAAAAGATCCCAAGATATATAAGGCAAGAAGAAGGAATTTGTAAATTCATTAAAATCTGTTTGGTCCCAGAACAAAGCAACCCAGTGGGGCATAAAATGGATAATGAATTACTTCGATGTGGTTCCCAGTCTATTGATCTACCGATTGGTGATGCTGTCACCGTCAATCAAAAAAGGCTACCTATGATAAACTTCTGATTCCCGTGAAGCTGAAGCTAAAACCTCAAAACGTCTTAACCATAATCCGATATTTTGAAGGTATAGGCTCAAATTTTAAGTCAGCTGTAAGTTGATATTTTGGGCTAGTGTATAGTTTAGCCAAAGGAAAAACGGTCCTATAGTTATGCCCTCTACCTTGTCATTCCGTTTGTAACATCCCTAAATCATATATATTCATAATCAACATCAAATTCTTAATCGACCTTGCAGGCAGACATCTGTCTGTTGAAATCACGATACAGCCCACATTATTTCAAGTAGAGCTTCAAAATATGGCACATGGATTTGGTACCAATACCGATATTCGGTATTTAGGTATTTGTAGTTCATAATAGATTCTAGCTCCAGTGGAGAAACATTGTGTGCATAGGTCTACGTTTTTTTATAGCACCCATATAATGGTACCCCCGATATTCAACATTTTGATGATTTTTGCACATTTTTCCACGGATTTGTCTAAAAATTGGTATTTGTAGTTCAGAGTGGGTTCTAGTTTCGGTGGTACATTTAACTATACCACAGATATTCGGTATTTTGATAATCCTAGTCACATTTACCCATGAAATTGTTTCAAATTTGATACTTAAGAAGATTTGGTAGATGACAAGCCTTAAAGTATAAAAGTGCCTATATAGGTTACCGTTTTGGTATGGCCCCCATGTAACGGCCTCACCCACTTTATTTTTTGAAACGTTTAACAGCATTATCCAAACAGTATTACTGGTATTTGTAGTTTAAACAGGGGACAACATTCAAATTCAGGTACTTGTATATAAAAATGTTTTCTTTACACAATGGTGGCATGTGGTTGACATTTCAAGATCTCTTTGCGCCATATTTTCAAAAAGATTGAATAAGTAAAAATGCATTTTGAGTGAACTAAATTTTTGTTTCAACTCCTATAAAATCTATATTGCAAATGATAGGGGGTATATTTATAATCCCACGAACCGATATTTGTACATAGTCTGTATAAAAGTTCATTATCATTTAAGGTATTGCTGGGTGCTGAATTAGATAACAATGAATGAAATAAAATACATTGATTACTCATATTCTGTTGGCGTTGTTTTGGTATGGATATGCATAGCATTTATCGTCAATGTGATTTTAAATGAGGGCATTGGAGTTTGAGTTCTATTGTTGTCATTTTTTTTGTAATAAAAATGTATATAAATTGGCTCGATATCATATGATCTTGCACCATTATATATTTTTCAACAATTTTATTACAATTATATAGATGAATAAACTTGAATTAAAAGAAAACAAAAAAATATATACATTATTTTAAATTTAGCGTATTTTATGATCCACTAAAATTTTAATTTATTAAGTACCATGTCTTCTAATTACATAAAATATTACGGATTTCGTTTAGATGGCCCCCGCCTGACCCTAATACTATTTCATACAATAAAACGGCACGTTTTTTTCCTGTGAGCCCATGTTGTCAACTTGAAATCTTTATTGGATGATACAAAGTAAATTGGGTCAATAATAAAAATTCTATATTAATCCGAATGTCTGCCATGGTTTTTGATTTATTATAATTGCCAAAAATATCATTAAAGGAGGCTTTATTGCTGATAACATTTAAAGTCTACAAGAAATTAAATACCACATTATAGCAATCACGTAGGAATATATGTTTGTGTACGTCACTCAAAACGTGACTTTTGTGATCTGCTGTCCGATTCAATAATAATAATTATTATTGTTTTTTTTTACAGAAACCACGTTGGGGTAAACTCTTAACATTGGTTGGTTATGCGGCAACATTCGGCTCAGCGGTGCCCGTCGGTTATTGTATTGGTGTTATCAATAGTCCTGCAAGTGTGAGTTCTTTTTTTTTGTGTGTGGTTTTATATATTTCTAATTTCCTTTCCATTTTCCACAGTATGTTAAAGCTTGGTGTGCTCAAAGTCTTTTGGAACGTTATGATGCCAATATCACACCATCTGGTTTAGATTTATTGTGGGCCTCCATTGTTTCGATATTTTTAGTTGGCGGTGCTGTGGGTTCCTTGGGCGGTGCATGGGCTGCCAATAAATTTGGAAGGTAAGGAAATATGTTTTCATTGAATTTCAGATTTTAAGATATGGAAGATATTTTCAAAAACATACACATTTGATATGAGAATAGTGTAGAGAAGAAAAGATGGTTCATCTTAGCTGGAAATCAAATGTTCTGTTATAGTATTTTTGTAAAGGTCCACCTGAATCCAGTTCTTTAAAAAACTGCCAACCACATTTTTCAATCAATTTGCCGCCAGTTTGATGCTCTTATCAGGAGATAAGAGATATTCTTTGTTGATTTGGTTAGACAAATTATCTTGGCACTTGAAAAATGTTTACCCCCCATTAAAAACGCTTTTATAACCTCTGAATACCGCAATTTTCTTAACCATGGGAAAGGTCAATGTTCAGAATGCAGAGAGTTCACCAACCTTAGTTCATGGAACTGCCCAACCATTTTGATATTCGCGTAGGAGAAATGATTATCCGAGAAGAACACATTTCTAAACAGCGGAACTAGTGAATGGCGTGATGACTTCGAAGTTCCAAACCTATCAATCTCAGAGTCATTGAATTGATAGGGGATAGGGAAGTTGGTACAGGAGCACAAGAGAAAACTTATGAATAGACCATTAGAAGTGTTGTAACATTAGAAATGGCATGAATAAACTGTGGGTAACAGTTAAATCACTGTCGAACCCTGAGAAGGAGGTTAAAAGGGCCACATTCATGTTCGATGACGTAAAGGTGTCTGATACGAAGAGGTTCGCTTGACCCCTTTAATTCGCCTCGAAGTGGGAAAATGGACCGGTTGGTCCCGCAGCTGAAGCCAGGCAAAGATGCCAGCAAAGGCAAGTCATTCAGGCCGATTAAACTTTTGTCGGCAATAGCAACGATTCTATAGGCTTTACTTCTCCACATTAGAAGAAACTATCCTGTTGCCGATGATCAACATGGTTTCTGTCAGCAGCACAGTACAACGTATATAAGCCAGAATAGCCAGGCTCTAGAACAATAGTATTGGTATCATCTTCTTGACGAATGGTTGGATAATCGTTGGTAGAGTGAAACAGAGAGTTCCCCAAGTTCGGATGATATCTCCGGAATTGTTTACCTTTTCGGAATTCACTAAGGAACATGGCGTCGGGTCCTCTCGTCGATGTCATATTTGTCAGATTGAACACCTATCCCGATGGTTACTGCTGCCTCCTTCCACGCGAGGAATATACAAATATCCATCACTAAATCAACGAACAAAGCCATTACCACAATAACTGCGATGAGAATATAATTCATGTGCAGGTAGAGGACACTAACTACTCAATAAAAAGCTGGGGGTCACATTGGACAGTATGATCAAGACGTCCGTGCAATGCACAGGTATCTCCGATAAATTTAAAATCTTATAAAGCGATATACCGGTCTGTGTTTAGATACGCCGTTCCAATGTGGGCTGCGAAAACAAGTTATTGCAATCTAATGGATAAGTACTTTGACCTACCAGATTGCCAAACTGAGGACGTCAACTGAGTACAGCCTCATGGCTCCAGTGGGCTATTTAAATGGAGAGACGAAGGTTCTTCCCTTACATCAGTATAATCATATGCTTTCATTGCAGTACCTGATTGTGTGTTAACGCGCGAGTCATCCAAACCATTTTATGGTGTATAAAACTTTCCCACACAGACGTGTCAATAAGGACCTGCATGATCCAAAAAGGCAGGTCCAACGATATAAGAGGGATGTAGAGACCGATGTAGTCATCACAACAATATGAATGCCGTCTTCGAAGTCAACCCCCTTCCAATATGAATGCCGTTCCATTTCAGAACGTCAGTAGACACACAAGGACAGTTTTGGCTCAACTTCCTTGGATTGTGCAGTCGTCTCAATTTGTATTGGGGGCGAATACCCACACCACTCTACATCTCTTTACCCAACTCACTCCAGAAGATCATTGGCTACAGCCTATTAGAGTTGACGATTTCTTAAAACTGGATGTTGAAGTAGAACTTCATTAGCAGAATTTAAACACCTTACATATCTTACTGCTACAGTAAGGACAAAAGGGACTAAGCGGACTTAGGGTGAGAATTTACTTTTTCTCATGTTGATTGATCCATGCTGTCAATGATGCTCTGTTGTAAATCTCTGAAATAAATTTTTGCGAAACGCACTGAACGAGGTCAAGAAGTAATCTTTCTCGGCACCACTAATCTATGCCGTATAGAGGCGGGAAATTCTATAAAAATATAAATTAAACCCTTCCGGAGATAACATCTGCACCAGAATTTAACGAATTCGAATAATAAATCCTAAAAAAGTGAAAAAGCGAATGGCTGAGCTAATGCAGCAATTCTGAAGTCATTTTATAAACAATATAAAGGTTTCCCTATTTCATTTGGTTTTGGAGAGGAGCGCATAGCAAAAACTATATTGCAGGAAATAAGATTTCTAATGCCAATAGTCGGCTTTTAATATATACCCGAAGCGATCAAAGTAAATACGTTGCTTTGTGATGACCTCTGTTTTGTAAATGGAACTTTGTCAACAGCATTCTTATTATAGGCTTTATTAGGAATTGCATTGTTTACTTTTTCTAAACAAAGCATTTCTTCCGACTGACGTCAAAAAAATAATAATATTTATAAAATAAAGCAAAATTCGCAATAAGTTGTTGCTTGTGCTGCACTTTACTGCAAGCGAAAAACACATTCTTTATTTGCATATGAATTTAATCGTTTGATGATCTAGAACCATATAATACAGATTAGCAGCGTGTACCCTTATCACCTTCATATATCAGCAATGTAAACATGATTACCAATGAATTTTTACGTAAACTGGAATTTTTCCAGGCAGTCTAATTAATTTCGGAATTGTTTAATTATAATTGTCTTTATTTGATTTTTTTTTTTTGTTACAGAAAGGGATGCTTTCTTATCAGCGGTTTTCTATTTGCCATTGGCGCCATCATGTTCTTCTTTTGTCGCATGGCAAACTCGGTGGAAATGCTGATATTGGGTCGCCTACTGGTTGGTTTGGCTTCCGGCTTGACAACAGCCGCCTTACCAATGTACCTAACGGAAATTGCTCCCTTGGCCTGGGTTGGTACTTTGGGTGTCTTTTGTGCTGTGGGTGTAACTGGTGGCGTGGTAGTGGGTCAAGTCTTTAGTTTGCGTGATGTTTTTGGCACTGCCGAGCTGTGGCATTATGCAATGAGTTTTTATATTGTCATCATATGCATATGCTATTTGCCGTCGTATATGTTCCCGGAAAGCCCTAAATATTTGTATATAGTCAAAGGTGACCGTGAGGGTGCACGACGTGAATTGACCCGTTTGAGGGGTGCAGATGCTGTTGATATGATTAATCATGAAATTGAAGAAATGGAAATTGAGGCCAACGCCAAGGTACAGACAAGAAGTTTTGGTTCTGTTTTAAAGGATCCTGCCCTACTGTTGCCTTTGATTATTGTCTGCTGTTTCCAGGGTGGTCAACAGTTGTCGGGTATTAATGCGGTAAGAGGGAAATTAAATTGTATTTCATTTATGGTGGGTATTAATCTGTTTTGTGCTTTTTTAGATATTTTATTATTCTGTATCAATATTTGAAAAAGCTGGTCTTTCTACAACTGATGCAGAATGGGCTAATTTGGGTAAGAATTTGAGAATTTTTTATATTAGATGACTTTTATATACTGTAAACAAGATTAAAATGTCTTCTCACAAAAGGAATACAAATGGATTTTAAAATATTAATATTCTAATAATCAATAGATGTCTCTATTTAAGTCTATTATTGGGTAAAGGAATAAGGCAGGAATCCGGAATTTTTTTATTTAGGCCTCTGATGTTGTCAGAAGTTAAAATATAGAGGAAAAGCGTCCTATATATGTACGTAAACTACTAAATAATACTAAATTTGGTATTGGGTGAAGTATTATGGCTGGAATCATGAAATTTGTTATATATTTCTCTGTTTGTGTCTGAGGTTAAGATATGGAGGTCATTTTGCAAACGTGTTCTATATTTGTACAAAAAATACTATATGATACTAAATTTGGTATTGGGTGAAGGAATTAGGCTGCAATCCCGAAATTCGTTATTTAGGTCTTTGTTGGTGTCTGTGGTTAAGATGTGGAAGTGGTTTTGGAAATGTGCCCTATATTTGTAAGAAAACTACTTAATAATACTATGATTGGTATTGGGTGAAGGAATAAGGCTGGAAACCCGAAATTTGTTCTTTAGGTCTCTGTTGTTAAGATATGGAAGATATTTGTAAGAAAACTACTTAATAATACTATAATTGGTATTGGGTGAAGGAATAAGGAAGGAATCCCGAAATTTTTTATTGAAGCCTCTATTGTTTTTAAGAAGAACAAATGGTTCCAATAGGAGTTCTTGGATAGACACGTTCTTGGAAGACACGTTGTTGTGTCAGCAACACATGTATGTGTTAATTTTTGTTAATCGGGTTCTCAGTTCTAATTTCTTGAACTAGAGACTCTCTCAAAATGTTGGAACTCCCTCTCTAGATCGTGTAAGTTTTTTCTGATACACTTGGGTGGCAAGTTTTATCCACAATACGACGGTTTCGATGATTCTCATGGTAAAAGCCAAGCAGGTACTCAATAAATGAATATGACTATGCTGCCGTACTGGAAGAACGAGGAGACTTAAAGAATTTTTCGAAACGATTTACAGTTATTTTAGTAGATAATATAAAACTTTTGGAGAAGACAAGCATATTTTCTGTCTGAAGACGATTAGGTCTGCTAGAAGCCCAAAAAGTGTCCATGTAGGACCTTATGACCTTCTCACAATAATTCAATTGGCCAATGGGTAGAAGAAGACTCATAGCTCTTCCTTGTATTTTAGTAGATAAACATTTTCTGATAAAACTGATTTGCAACACCGACATAATTTCTTGTAAAAGATTAATAAGTGCTCTTTAATAAAGGAGACGTTTTTTTCGAGGGTCAACATGTCTTATAGCGATATGCAAGTCTTCATAATGATGATCAACAGTTCTCACAGATGATCACATATTTCACATGGGTCTGGTTTTGAAAGACCGATAATAGTGTTCGGAAAACATTCTTAAGTCAAATTATTTCTATTGGGTCAATCATCTTTAATCTTTAAAATTAATTCTTATTGTTTTTTCTTCTATTTTCCTTTTCAGGTGCTGGTTGCCTTAATTTAGCCACCTCATTCTTGGGACCCGTGCTAATGGCCCGTGTTAATCGCCGTCCACTAATGATGTTCTCTAGTTCGATTTGTGCCGCTTTCCTATTCGCCATTGCCTTTGTTCTTTATTACATTGTGAGTGAACTTCAACTTGCGATTTATTGATTTTGAATTTAATTGCTGTCTATTGATTTGTTTGACTGTCTATTTATAGGAAGCGGCAAGTTGGTTCCCCATAGTTTGTATTGTCTGCATTATGGGCTATATATTCTTCTATCAATTTGGCTTGGGCCCGATACCATATTTTATTGGCACTGGTAAGTTATAACGTACAATAGCTGATATGTAATTGTAAATGTTTATAAGGCAACGAATAGCAAAGCTAAATTATTTTGCCATAAACTTATCATTTCGGTTTTTTTTTCAATGACTTTGGTATTCCTTTGATTTTCAAGCTATTTCTCTTTAGATTTGTTACTACCTGTCTAAACAAATAGTATTCTTTTGATGAATGCAATATTTCATTCAGGCAAGACAATATTTCATGTACAGGGTGAGATAAAAGAAACTACAACAAAGTCAAACGCCATAATTTTACATTTTTTTTTTAATTTTATCGAAAGAAAGCAAAAAATGTCGGAAATAGCTTCAAATTTTAGAATAAGTTTAGATTGGTTCAAATTGGTCATCTTTGGCACGAATTATGGCTTCCAAACCGACAATGAAACCGCCCGAATGTTGCTTTGCGGAATTTTGGCCCATTCCCGGCGAAGCGCTTGCTTGAGGTGATCGACACTTTGGTATTTTTTAGTGTCAACTTTGCTTGTCAAAATACTCCAGACACAATAGTCCAACGGATTGGTATCCGGAGATTTTGGTGGCCCTTGTGCACTGGAAATGAAGCTAAGAAACTCATTTTGTAACCATTATTGGGTGGCACGTGCTGAGAGCGATGGTGCTGAGTCCTTGTGGAATGTCCAAGGTTTGCGGCCAAAATGTTTGCGTGCCCAAGGCCTTAATACACCCTCCAGAATATGTTCGCGATAGTATTCGGCATTTATTCTGATGCCACGGTTGATTAATACGAGCGGAGAGTGGCCATCGGCTGTTTTGGCGGTCCACACCATCACCATGGACGGCGCTTGAGTTTTGGTGGCCAACCGAAGGTGAACATTTTCAGCTGACCTCTTTGGCAAATAAACACGATAATTTTGTTTGTTTACAAACTGCTGGACAACGAATGCTTTCTCATCGAAGAAACCCAAATTCGACAGTTCACCACTTTCGGCCAAACGAAGTAACTCTTTAGCTCTTTTGAGTCTATTTTCTTTCTGCTGCTGTGTAAGTTCTTGCACTTTTTGGAATTTTAATGACTTTACCCCGAGCTAATTTTTCAATATTTGACGAATGGAATATTGCGATGTGTTCAGCTCACGAGCCATTTTTCGGATAATGCGACGCTGGTTTCGATCAAGTCGCTTCTTTACTTTTAGAACCATTTCTGCTTATGTTGCTGTTTTCTTCTATCCACTTCCTTGACGTCGGCTCCGCAACCAGAATCACGGTAACGATGGTACGAGACACAAAAGATTTATTCACATTTAAATGCTCGAGTGCTATAACGATAGCCACTTGTGGTTTTCCAGCCAAATATATAGAAATCACACTGTCACGTTTGAATTCCATCACGAATAACTTTTTTCTGGAAAATTCTCACCAAAATGCTACGCTTGTACTCTTGTAAACAATATAATGACCTGTCACTGGAATAATTTTAACAGCTGTCGGACGAATGGCTTAGAAATGACAGCAGTCTAAAGTTGGTTGCTGTTTTTTCATCTCACCCTGTATTTGTAGTGCATTTTTGGTTATTATAAATTTGGATATTTTTTGTAAGTCCCGGAAAAAGGAAAAATAGAATATCTTGCAAATAGATAAAAATCCTTTTGTACATTTTAAATATACATAAGATCTTATAAGTATGTTAGTGGTATCCTGCAGATTGAAGATTTTCCATTGTTCCCAGTTTTCAAATAAAAAATTACTGTTTATTATGTAGGTCATAAAAGAAGCCATCTGTTGTACACTGCTGCCTTCAATTGAAATTGATCTATTACTCAGGAAAATCAACAGTTTATTACAAAAAAATCTCTTCGGACCTCTTTAAGGGGTGGCAATTGCTTTTAATGCAATTTGTTTATTTAACCCAATCACCTTCTGTTTAATTTCTTTGTGACTGATACAAATTTATATTGCTAAATAAGTTTGCATTCGAAGACCAAGTTTTCGTTTTGCCACATTTATGGAGGCGTCGCGAACGACAACAATGCTATGTAAACAAAAATTATAGCAACACACTACGACATCATCACAATTCAATTAATAACTTTTATATTTGTTTATACAAAGTCCATAAATTTAATTTCATTCATTCACGTGCTTTTCTTTGTCATGTCTGCAGTTTTGGTTTTTTTTTTGTTTGAAGTCATGTGTCTGTCGGTTTCTCAGTCTGCCTACTTTTGTGGCGCTGGTACTGGGGTGTTACTACTGACCAAGCGTATTTATGTGTCAGTTTTCAATTGTGTTCTTAATGAAATTGATTGTTGTTGTTGTTGCTGAACGCAATGCATTCAGCGAAATATGATACATACGTATGTATTTGTTGTGGGGGAAACAATGGAGGCGTTTAGGTTGTCGGAAAACAAACGAACGCACAATACTAATTGCTTTGATTCACTTAAGGAAATTGTTTCAAGGTTAAGGTCACACGATCGTTTCATTTAAGCTGTGGCCAAATTGAACATTCTTTTCATAGCTTTTGATATCTATTATTAGATTGTATTAATTGGGGTCATTGTGCACGAGATTGTGTGTGTTTAAAGTCCAATTGAAAAAGAGGACGGACTGTTTGTTAATTCTCGTGATACAAAAGAGAATCACATGTCCACTGGACCAAATGAAGACATGTGAAGCGTGTGAACTTTTTGGTGAGCCAAAAACCAAGACGCAATAAGTAAATTAAATTTCGTCTGATGAAGATAGATGATTGCAGATTGTTTATAGTGAAGTGCAGTAGGATTTTAATATCGTAACGAAAGGGGATTCCCTTAATAATATGGGTTCTCCTCATTATACAACGTGGCAACGTGAAGGGTGATGCCAATGGTAGACAATTACAAAATCATGATATAGAGTTAGGTTAATAGAGTTCAACCACAACGTTGAGTGTGTGGCACATAATGTGTCTATCATACAAGACTATGGTGATTGTTATGTGGTCTTTGTCGAAATTAGGCATCCGAGTTTGACGTCGCTGAGATGTAGTGGGTCTACATTGGTCTGCAAGATTGTAGCGAAAAAAACTGTTTTGTCTAGCGCTACTATATGTTTGCGTGTTGCTTTCTGCAAGTCTGGTTCCAACCACAAGTTTAAAAATTCTTCTACCTTAATAAGCAGTAACCAAAGATCTCCATGAGTTAGATAGTTTACGCAAGGCAATTATAAAGTCTAATATGAATTTAGACGACTGCACCATGGTGAACGTAGTTGGTCGAAAACTAACCTGTTTGCCAAGTCAGCCGACGTCCTTCAGCTGCAATGAATTGGAATGGACTCCAAGAATGTCGTTCATACTATAGTTGTTAATTACAACGGTGACTGTTTCAATATGAACGTTATTCAAACCTGCCTGATAGGCTTCTTGATCTAGAGGATATCGTCAAGGCAGGTACTGCATTGAAAGCCTTTAGTTATGCTGAAGTGCCTAGTGTAGATGGTCCACTGGTGTTGCGAGGAGGCATCCCGTTGCAGATTTCAGGGCGGCATTTTGGCTAGATCTTCCATTGCGTTGCTCCAACTAACCTATATCTTTATAAGAGGTCAACAAGGTATCCTTATCCGCGCGTTTAAAAAGGCACCAAGCTTCGCAACATAGGTATTCAGCTTTACACATATGTAATCCACGGGCGATCCTACGCCATGATCGTCAATCAACCGCATGGTTCAATCTTAATGACCTTATTTCGAAGAAGTAGAGGCTAAACAATTTAGGAAATATCATCCCTGCTTGGGAAACTCCATGTTTCATTTTTAGGGGTCTGGACTTCTTATTCCTTATTCCACGTACGACTAACATCTACACGTATGGTTGACGTTTCAAACTCGTACGGAGATTGATTGACAGTATAAAAGGGCTTTGGGATTGACAACTGGCATTACTTGTTCTGATTAAGTCTTTGACTAGGATGTGCGTGGATATGGCGTGTTATGCTGTTGTCGTTCTATCCTGGGGACGGAACCCGTGTTGATTGTTGGTAACTGATAACTGCCTTTAAGACTGGGTAGACCTTAACGACCAAGAGTCTTCGGCGACAAAAGCAAAATCGCCTATGCTGTCATTCTTATCTGGTTTTAGTACTGGGACTACCCGGGCCTTTTTTCAAGCTTGGGGATGAGGTGGTCACCTGATGACTTTTGTCAGGTACGTCCGTACGTCCGGGCCCAACGTTTTACATAGCATGGCGTTTTAGATGATATTTGTCACATCACCCATTGTAAATTGTGGTGGTACCGTCTCACCGAGAAGAGATCTAAAGCTACACACACCTTTTCAGATCTGTCACTATAACGTCGTTAAACGTGGCTGTGGTCCAAGGATGTCATTTAATCCTTACCCACAGTTTACTCATATCGATTCCAATGTTACAAAACTTCAAATGGTGTAGCTACTCTTTCCTATTGTACTCCTTTACCAAACGGTTTCGCTGACTCTTGGATAAGTATACTAGGAACGACGGAGCTCATCATGCTCATTCCCTGGGAACCCACCAACATCCGTTGCACCTGTAGAACGCAGCTTAGGCAAATTTTTGTCAGCAGACCTGCTAAACTTATATAATATGTAAGACAAGAATGGTGCAACCACTTTTATTTGCATTCGATTCAAATTGATGGTAAAAAACTAAAAGCCACCTAAAAAAAAACTAATAGCCACCTAAAAAAATTCCACCGTTTCGGAATTTCTCATTTGACATTCCATATTTAATTACCTTGAAATTAATTCATCTCATCTTTTCATTGGTCATTACAATTTTGTGCATTTCCGTTCAAATTGATGTACAGTAAGACTCTTGACATGTGGACACAGATGTCGCTAAGAATTTATTCTCATATGAGATGGGACAACACTGAGGTTGGGTTTAAAATATGCCGTTTTTTACATTTTTTGTGGTGGCCACTGTGCCGTATATTCCCAATGTAATTGCATATTCATCCGGCCATTTAGGTTTTTAATGGTCACTCCTGTTCTTTTTTTTTTTTTGGTTTAATATTCCACACTTGTTAGCAATAAATTTCAAATTTCATCATATGCTGAAATGTCGTACTTAATTGCATTTTAAATAAACCTGAAAAAAATTTTTTGCTTTAATAATTTCTTTTTCTCTTTTCTTGTTTTTTTAGAACTTTTCGAAGTGGCGCCTCGTTCTGTTGCCATGTCCATGGGTAGCTTATCGTCTTGGGCCTGTAACTTTATCATTGGCATGGCTTTCCCTTCGCTGCAAAATGCCTGGGGTGCATTTGTGTTCTTGCCATTCTCCGTAACCTGTGCACTGCTGTTTGTGCTAACGAAATTCTATGTGCCCGAAACCCGTGGCAGAGATCCGTCCGAAGTTGCACCGTTGGTGTCGAAAGGTTTTAAGTCGAAAGTTAAATAAATTTTAAGCTATAGATAGATTTTAATTTACTTTAAAATATTTGTGGATAGGAGACAATACCGGGTTTTTTAAATTTAAACTTTAAAGTACACAACACATGCTAAGCTAAATTTAATACAAATTAGTTCAAATTATCAATATCACTATAATTCAACTGTCGTGTTCATTGACAAATGTGTGTAAACATCTCAAGGAATAGATTATAAATAAAAGAAAAAAAAAAACAACATTTGGCAAAAATAAAATTTTGTAAAAAAAAAACAAAACGCATAATGTGCATTATATCTAGGCTTAATAAATTTTATTAAAAAAGACATGGTGATAATTAGAAAAATCAAATAAACTTCAACTAACATGTTCATGTTTTTTTTATTTTTTTTAATTTGGTGTAAACTTAATTAAATTTATTTTGTTTTATATCTAATGTATAGTACAATGTTATTTATAATTTATTTTTTATATTTACACAACAGTTCTCTATTAAGCGAAATTTCTACATCGATTACGTATATGAGAAATAAATGATACATCCTAATTGTCATACAATGTAAAACGTATCTTAAATTTGTCTTCAAATAAATAATTTATATAAAAAAATTTAGGTGGTTTTAATTTTATATTTTTTATACCTTCAGCCATATGGCTAGAGAGGGTACATATCATTTGATACGGCCAAAACGTACCTCTTCAAAATAACGGTTTTTGGACCAAATCCGTTTCAGACATTTGGAGTTGATCTGGCGATGTCCGTCCCTCCGTCTGGCTAATTGCTGCGCACGATAACTCTCGTAGGGAGTATCCGATTTGGTCCAAACTTGGTGCATCGTAATATTAATATTAAACATAGATCGAGTTCAGAGATGGGCAGTATCGGTCCACATCTTCTGGTACGTCTCCAAATATTTTCAAAAATTTTACTGCACAGAAAGAGAAAGTGTAAGCCGATTTTACTGCAACATTGCAAATCATAATTTTTGCTTCAATGCTAGGTCAGGTGCGAAAATGGACAACATCGGTCCACTCCATCAGGTACCTCCCCCACTAAAGATCAACATTTTGAATATTCACGAAGCTCAAAATTTATACATCTCAATATTTCTATCAACACAAGATCTTTTATAAATATGATAGAGATCGGACCACTCCTTCTGGTACCTCCCCCACAAAGGGTCAACGTTTTGAATAACCAAAAAGGTCATAAAATCCGAAATAAGCATCCGGTTCACTTCATATTTCACACATCTCGTTATTATCCACTAACACAAGATCTGCTATGAAAATGGGCTATATCGGTCCACACCTTCTGGTACCTCCCCCACAAAGAGTCAAGATGTTGAAAATCCATGAAGCTCATAAAACTCGAAATTAACATCCGATTATATTCAGACGTGGTACATCTCAATATTTCTATCAACACAAAATCTGTTTTAAAGATGGTAGAGATCGTACCATTCCTTCTGGTACCTCCCCCACAAAGGGTCCAAGTTTTGGATAGCAAAAACGATCTTAAAAACCGAAATAAGAAACCCGTTCTCTTCAAATTACACACATCACAATATTTAATTATTAACTATTAACCAAATGTCTCGTGTGAAGATGGGATATATCGGTCCACTCCTTCTGGTAGCTCCCCCACAAAGGTCCAACATTTTGAGTATCCATGAAGTTCATAAACCGCGAAATTAACATCCGATTCCATCCAAACTTGGTACTTCTCAATATTTCTATCAACACAAGATCTGTTATAAAAATGTTACAGATCGGACCATTTCTTCTGGTACCAACCCCACATAGGGTTCAAGATTTTTAAAAATCAAAACGCTCAAAATAGGCAAAATAAGCATCCAAATCCATCCATCCATCTCCTCATATTTCCTATATACAAACATTTTTGGCAACCCCTTCTTACCTCACCCACAAAGGGTCACAATTTCCAATATTAATATCTGTCATAACTTGCGAAACAAGTCGGTGATTCTTTACAACTTGCTATATCTAAATATTTCTCTTAACCGGAAATCTTATAAGATTATGTAATTTATCGGAATTTATGATTTCGCATAAAATTGGATGTAAATATTCGATTTCCTTCCAATTTTGCACATACCAATATTTTTATCTGTATTAGATGAAGTATGGAAATGGAATACTTCGGTCCGCTATATCTGTTGCCTCACGCATATTACCACATTTTCCAAAATTTTGGACATATCTTATATAAAGTACAGGTAGTAGTCAATATAGTCCAAATTTTTCATGTTGTAATATTTATATCAGTGTTAGGTCATATACGAATTGGTCAATATTGGCCAACTGCTTCGGAACCTTCGGAAGAGTCAACAGAGTGAATAATCATAAGTCAACGCTGGGGTATACAGGGTGAGATGAAAAAACTGCAATCAATTTCAGACTGCTGTCATTTCTAAGCCACTGTTAAAATTATTCCAGTGACAGCTCATTATATTGTTTACAAGCGTACAAAAGCATTTTGGTGAGCATTTTCCAGAAAAAAATGTATTCGTGATGGAATTCAAGCGTGATAGTGTGATTTCTTTATATTTGGCTGGAAAACCAAAAGTGGCTATCGTTAGAGCACTCCAGCATTTAAATGTGAATAAATATTTTGTGTCTCGTACCATCGCTCGTTACCGTGATGCTGGTAGCGTAGCTTGACGTCAAGGAAGTGGACGGAAGAAAACAGCAACTTCAGCAGAAATGGTTCGAAAAGTATAGAAGCGACTTGATCGAAAACCGCGCCGCAGTGGCCGAAAAATGGCTCGTGAGCTGAACATATCGCAATAATCCATTCGGAAAATATTAAAAAAATGAGCTCGGGGTAAAGCCGTTGATATTCCAAAAAGTGCAAGAACTTACACCGCAACGGAAAGAAAATAGACTCGAAAGAGCTAAAGAGTTGTTTCACTTGGCTGAAAGTGGTGAACTGGCGAATTTGTTTTTCTCCGATGAGAAAATATTCGTTGTCCGGCAGTTTGTAAATAAACAAAATGATCGTGTTTACTTGTCAAAGAGGTCAGCTGAAAATGTGCACCTTCGGTTGGCCATCAGAACTCAAGCGCCGTCCATGGTGATGGTGTGGACCGCTATAACAGCCGATGGCCACTCTCCGCTTGTATTAATCAACCGTGGCATCAGAATAAATGCCGAATATTATCTCGAAAATATTCTGGAGGGTGTATTAAAGCCTTGGACACGCAAACATTTTGATCGCATACCTTGGATATTCAGCACGCGCCACCCAAGAATGGTTACAAAATGAGATTCCTTGCTTCAAGTTAAAAAGCAGTAAGTTCGACCGGGCCGAACTTTGAATACCCTCCACCATTTGGAACGAATTTGGAAATTTTCAAAAAATAAAGTCCTTAAAATATTATGTTAAAATTTTAAAAATACCGAATATAGCCGTTATATTGGGGTCTATACGACGTGGACCTACATAGGCCTTGTTTGTCATAAGCCATTACCATATTGAAATTCGAAACTTGAAATAAATGGTGAATAATGTAGCTAAAATCATCAAAATATCGTATATAGGGAGGTTCCGTGATATCGGAGCTGTGCGAAGACCTGGACCAGGATAGACAATTTTCTGTCACAGGCTATAGCATCCATTACGAACGTCAAATACGAAATCTCAAAAAATTTCGGTAGGTATTGTACCTACCGAATATAGGGAGGTGCTGATATATGGGGCCTATACGAAGACCTGTACCCGCATAGACAATTTTCTGTCACAGACTGTAGTTTCCATTACGAACTTTAAATACGTAATTTGAAACAATTCCGTTAAATAATGACGCTAAAATCATAAAAATACCGAATATCGGGAGGTATCGTTGTATGGGGTCTATACGAAGACGTGGACCTGCACAGATAGTTTTCTGTCATAGGCTGTAGTATTCATTTCGAACTTCAAATACCGAAGTTGAAACAATTCCGGTGAATAATGTCGGTAAAATCATCAAAATACCGAATATCGGGAGATACTTATATATGGGGGCTGTATGAAAATGTGGACCTACATGACCCATTTACGAACTTAACCTGCCTACTGGAAATATAAACACGTGTGCAAAATGTTAGCCTTCTATCTCAATTCGTTCGATAGATAGAAAAAGACAGACAGACGGACATGGCTAAATCGACTTAGAATTTCACGCTGATCAAGAATATATATACTTTGTTGGGTCTGACATGAGTATTTCGAGGAGTTACAAACGGATTGACAAAGTTAATATACCCTCCATAGTATGGTGTAGGGTATAAAAATACCAAAGTGTCGATCACCTCAAGCAAGCGCTTCCCCGGAAATGGGCCAAAATACCGCAGAGCACCATTCGAGCGTGTGACGGTTTCATTGGCCGTTAGAAGGCTATAATTCTTGCCAAAGTTGACCAATTCTAACAAATCTAAACTTATTTTAAAATTTGATGGTATTTCCGACATTTATTCCTTTCATTCAATAAATTTAAAAAAAAGATGTAAAACAACATCTTTCAATGAATGATTTGCGATTCTCATATATTTGTTATTGTATATTAAATTGAACTCCTTTAACTTGTTACAGAAAGTCATTTTCGAAACGCTTTCCGATCGCATAGGAGCGTTAATCATTTTTTGATTACCTAAAGGACTTGAAGAAGACTCAGCGCAATGTGATTTGTTTCAAAAACAATTTTCCAAATGCTAGCTGTGCTACACTCCATGACAGCATGTGTATGATGTGTTGCCTTCGCTACACTTCGACATTTCCAAAACTCAACAAGTGTTTTTCGTTATTTCTTTTCCATTTCTGACGTCTTATTTCTCATTGTTGGCCAAACAAAATGTAATAGAATTGCCAAATATTTTGGTATGTGTCTCTCTTCAGTCAGCGCTCCCAAACAACAAAACAATCTCCCAAATGACGTCACAATGAAAGCGTCAGTGATGGTGGCGATGATGGCCACATCGCGCAGCCATGGTGGTGTTGGTGGTGTCGATGATGCCCATGAGAATTATAACGTACCAAAATATTTATCTCTTCTCGAACAGATCGCTCCATCTTGCGGGCCGTCTGATGCGTTCTGCTGCTCTTTTGGCCGGCGGCGGTGCTATTGGTTCGAAGAGGAGAAAATTCCGAGCACACATTTAGTAGCGGTTATTCCGGTGAACGGTGAAAAGCTAAAAAGATTTTCCGGCGGCAATGGTAAAACGCTTTAAAACGAAACGAAAATCAAGAAAAACGACGTGAGTGCAGTGCCACGAAAAAAAATCAAAAGAAGAAGAAGAAGGCCAATAGTCAATGATGATGGTGGTGATGATGATGACGATGAAAACACGGCGATCGAGTTAAAAATAAATATTCTTCATTAAATTGTGGTGTTGTTGTTGCTGTTGATGTTGTTTGTGTTGTGTTTCATGCGGAACAAAATTGTGTTATTTTTGGTGTAATTTATACATCGCGTTGTTGTTGTTGTGTTTTTAATGTTTAATGCCTACAAGAATTCACTTAATTGAGTGAGCAATTTTCCCCGACCATAATAAAGTAATTACAACAACCAAAAGAAATTAAAAGAAAAAAATAATAAAAAATTTTATTTAAAAGTCGGAAAAATTCCCAAAAAGTTTTTAAAATAAATTATAATCCCAATAAAAAGTCAAGTGCAGTTCAGTTCTCCTTTGCGGAATACCCATTAAATACTACACACGGTAATTAAAAGAAAATTGTTGTTATGATTTAGCCCCTCCACCACCCGAACCCATCCAACTGGAAAATGTTTTTCTAAACACAATGATGAAATGAAAAATTGTTGTTCGTGTCTGTTGTTTTTTTTTTTTGCTGTTTTGTTGAGGCAAAAATGTATATTTGGATTTGCATCCATCATACATTTGTCTGAGGGTATGTACGTATGTATGTGCGTACAGCGTGTTGGCCATGTCTGTATCCCCCACACATATCTACAGGCGGTGATCTTGTTTTGTTGCTATTTTGCCTCCGATTGTATGACGTCTTTGGTAAGACGCTTTTTATCTTAGCATTTGTGTCAATTGTGCACAATGGGTTGAAAACGTGTGTTATCATAAAAAATACAACTAATAATAGGTGTGTACGATAACTGAATATTTTGTAAAAAAATATAAATATACAAAATATACTGGGTGAGATAAAAACAAGTAGTAAGTTCGACCGGACCAAATTTTCAAAAAATAAAATCCTTAAAAATTTCTGTTAAAATTTAAAAAATACCGGATATAACCGTTATATTGGGATCTATACGACGTGGACCTACATAGGCATTTTTTGTCATAAGTCATTACCAAATTCAAATTCGAAACTTGAAATAAACGGCGAATAATGTAGCTAAAATCATCAAAATATCGTATATAGGGAGGTACCGTCATATCGGAGCTGTGCGAAGACCTGGATCAGCATAGACAATTTTCTGTCACAGGCTAAAGCATTCATTACGAACGACAAATACGACATCTCAAACAATTTTGGTGGGTATTGTACCTAAACTTGTCAAAATACCGAATATAGGGAGGTACTGATATATGGGGCCTATACGAAGATCTGGACCTGCATAGACAGTTTTCTGTCTAAATACGTAATTTGAAAGAATTCCGGTGAATTATTACGCGCAGACAATATTCTGTCTTAGGCTGAAGTATCCATTTCGAACTTCAAATACCACATTTGAAACAATTCCGGTGAATAATGTTGCTAAAATCATCAAAATACCGGGATGTACCGTTACATGGGGGCTATATGAAAACGTAGACCTACATGGCCCATTTACGAACATAACCTGCCTACTGGAAAGATAAATAAGTTAGCCTTCTATCTCAATTCGTTCGAAAGATAGCGTGATTACAACAGACTGACAGACAGACATGGCTAAATCGACTTAGAATTTTACGCTGATCAAGAATATATATACTTTGTTGGGTCTGACGTGAGTATTTCGAGGAGATACAAACGGAATGACAAAGTTAATATACCCTCCATAGTATGGTGGAGGGTATAAAAATGTAGCAAATAGCATCAAGTTTTAGAATAAGTTTAGATTTGTTCGAATTGGTCACCTTTGACACGAATAATGGCCTTCAAACGGCCAAATGAAACCGTCACACGCTCCTCGAATGTTGATCTGCGGTATTTTGGCCCATTCCCGGCGAAGCGTTTGCTTGAAGTGATCGACACTTTGGTATTTTTTAGTGCCAACCTTGGTTTCCAAAATACTCCAAACACAATAGTCCAACGGATTGGTATGCGGAGATTTTGGTGACCATTGTGCGGTGGAAATGAAGCTAGGAACCGAATTTTGTAACCATTCTTGGGTGGCGCGTGCTGCGATGGTGCTGAGTCCTGTTGGAATGTCGCAGGTCTGCGGCCAAAATGTTTGCGTGCCCAAGGCTTTAATACACCCTCCAGAATATTTTCTCGATAATATTCGGCATTTATTCTGATGCCACGATCGATTAATATAAGCGGAGAGCGACCGTCGGTTGTTATGGCCGCCCATGCACCATGGTCCGCGCTTGAGTTCTGGTGGCCAAACGAAGGTGCACATTTTCAGCTGAACTCTTTGTAAGTTCTTGCACTTTTTAGAACTTCAATGGCTTTACCCCGAGCTCATTTTCAATATTTACCGAATGGAATATTGCCATTTTTCAGCCACTGCGACGCGAGTTTCGATCAAGTCGCTTCTTTACTTTTCCAACCATTTCTGCTGATGTTGCTATTTTCTTCCGTCCACTCTCGTATCACGGTAACGAGTGATGGCACGAGCCAAAAACATTTGTTTATATTTAAATGCTGGAGTGATCTAACGATAGCCACTTTTGGTTTTCCAGCCAAATATTAAGAAATCAAATTATCACGATTGAATTCCATCACGAATAATTTTTTTTCTGGAAAATTCTCACCAAAATGCTTTTGTACGCTTGTAAATAATACAAGTCAAAATAAAAGTCCTTTATTCCTCTACGAAGAAGTCAGCCGATGACTTAAGCCAGTCAAAAAAGCGTTTTATGGATTCTTGTTCAATGAAAATATGAAACGAAAAATATTTCCTTAGAAAATTTTTCATTTGACATTTCTTTCCTTTATAAAAGTTTTCATTTCACATTTTCATAGAACAAGAATTGAGGCCCAGTTGAAGCCATTTAAAAATCCTTTAAGGTTATCGGCTGGCTTCTTCGGAAATGAACAAAGGAGCCTAGGCCCAAAATCGAACTAGGTCAACCTAAAACTCCCTTGTTCATCTACGAAGAAGCCAAATATGCTCTTTATGTATTTCCAGCCTATGCGCCTTGAATTTAAAATTTTATGTACACATCCTAAACATATATTCGTAACGATTATTATGAAATTAATTAAATAAAACCTTTAAAAAGTGTGTCTGGTTACCGTAAATTTTTTAAAAATTGTTACTGGAAATTGTCTTCAAGAGAGAGGGAGAGAGATAAGATAGAGAAATGTTGCTCAACGTTTGTAAATTCATGCTGGTCATCTTCTTACAATCACTTGTAATTCTTCTTCTTCCCGTTCAGGCAATTTAAATTTGGGACATTATTGCAGATTATCGGCTAATTTATAATTTTTGAGTGCTTCATTGCTATTTATATCGAACAAATTGTTTCATTGCAGGGATTCCGTCTGTTTACTTTTCACAGTTTGCAAAAGAGAATAAAGCACCCTTTTTCTCTCAGAAAAAAGCTGCTGGACAATTCCTGCAGGAAAAGTAACCAGACAGAACTAATAATCGATGACAGGGACTGATGGCACATATTAATTGTCATTTCTGTCATACGGATAAAATTATGAACATTTTCTTTTATGGAACACTTTTATGTTGGAGACTTATTCCAGTAAAACCTTGCAAAAGCAACGTAGAACCACTGTGCTTTGTAAATAATTAAAAACATATGGTATCAATACAATATGCCAGTGTCTGGTTAGCCTATCGACTAAAAGTATTTATGTTTTTATACCCTCCACCATACTATGGAGGGTATATTAACTTTGTCATTCCGTTTGTAACTCCTCGAAATACTCATATCAGACCCAACAAAGTATATATATTCTTGATCAGCGTAAAATTTAGTCGATTTAGCGATGTCTGTCTTTCTGTCTGTCCGTCTGTCTGTCTGTCTGTCTGTCCGTCTGTCTGTCTGTTGTAATCACGCTATCTTTCGAATGAATTGAGATAGGTGGCTAAAATTTTGCACACATGTTTATTTTTCCAGTAGGCAGGTTAAGTTCGTAAATGGGCCATGAAGGTCCACGTTTTCATATAGCCCCCATATAACGGTACCTCCCTATATTCGGTATTTTGATGATTTTAGCGACATTATTCACGGGAATTGTTTCAAATTTGGTATTTGAAGTTCAAAATGGATACTACACCCTAAGACAGAAAATTGTCTGTGCAGGTCCACGTCTTCATATAGCCCCCATATAACGGTACCTCCCTATATTCGGTATTTTGATGACTTTAGCGACATTATTCACCGGAATTGTTTTAAAATTGGTATTTGAAGTTCGTTATGGGAACTACAGTCTGTGGCAGAAAATTGTCTGTGCGGGTCCAGGTCTTCGTATAGCCCCCATATAACGGTACCTACCTATATTCGGTATTTTGATGATTTTAGCTACATTATTCACCGTTTATTTCAAGTTTCGAATTTGAATATGGTAGTGGCTTATGACAAACAATGCCTATGTATGTCCACGTCGTATAGACCCCAAAATAACGGCTATATTCGGTATTTTTAAAATTTTAACAGAATTTTTTAAGGATTTTATTTTTTGAAAATTTCCAAATTCGTTGCAAATGGTGGAGGGTATTAAAAGTTCGGCCCGGCCGAACTTACTGCTTTTTAACTTGTTCTGGTTCTTTTTCTCCTTTCTATTTTGGTAAAATTTGAAAAACTTTTTAAGCGAAAGTAAAAAAAGTGTTTTTTTCTCATTCTCTGGCCGTCTGTTAATTAAACATGATTTTCAAATTTTATCTAAACAAATGAAAGGCAAGAAATAAAAAAAACAATCGCGTCATATTTTCGTTTAATAGAATTTTCCAAAAAAATGTATTTTGTTGAGTTCAAATCAGTTCAATTGATGCTGTAAGGTATTAAAGAATATGACGACAATAGCCAACGATGGATGGAAGAGGTCGATCTTGGATGGCCAATGAAAGCAAATAGCAAATGTTAATGTACAAACGTATATAGATATGCAGATATACTTGGATATGGTTCCAAGTATTATTTTGCAACACACAAATAAACGGATTATAAAAATGTAATGGATCATAATCGTAAAAAGGGGAAAAACAAAAACACATTTCCCCAAAAATATTCCGCAAAGCATTTAACATAAAAACTGAAATATATAAAAAAAAACAACAAGCCAATGTTAAGAAAACCAACAAAGATTTTCCACAATAGAAAAACAACAAATGTTGTAGGTAATACATCTGGGTTGATGGACATAGTCTACATAAGTTTTGACTCAAATCTCATTTTGATTTTATTTCATTCGTTGTTATGTTGTCGGAGAACGTGTGCAGATGGCCATTCAGCCGGCTGGATGACTATATGGACAGACAAAACCGCATACATATATTTTTTTTTTTTCCTTTTGGATCGTATCTTTTATTATTATTGTTATCCACATTTATTTTGACACTATGAAATTTATTAAA